CCAGTCATGTCCCATTACTCATTCGCCCATTAGTCATACTCCCACTCATGTCCCATTACTCATACGTCCATTTGTCCTACTCCCAGTCATGTCCCATTAGTCCTACTCCCAGTCATGTCCCATTAGTCCTACTCCCAGTCATGTCCTATTAGTCCTACTCCCAGTCATGTCCCATTAGTCCTACTCCCGGTCGTGTCCGAATAAATAGTCCTACTCCCAGTCATGTCCCATTAGTCCTACTCCCAGTCATGTTCCATTAGTCATACGCACATAAGTCCTACTCCCGGTCATGTCCCATTAGTCCTACTCCCCGTCATGTCCCATTAGTCCTACTCCCAGTCATGTCCCATAAGTCCTACTCCCAGTCATGTCCCATTACTCATACGCCCATTAGTCATACTCCCAGTCATGTCCCATTACTCATACGTCCATTAGTCCCATTCCCAGTCATGGCCCATTAGTCCTACTCCCAGTCATGTCCCGTTACTCATACGCCCATTAGTCCTACTCCCAGTCATGTCCCGTTACTCATACGCCCATTAGTCCTACTCCCAGCCATGTCCCATTATTCCTACTCCCAGTCATGTCCCATTACTCATACGCCCATTAGTCCTACTCCCAGTCATGTCCCGTTACTCATACGCCCATTAGTCCTACTCCCAGTCATGTCCCATTAGTCCTACTCCCAGTCATGTCCCATTACTCATACGCGCCTATTAGTCCTACTCCTAGTCATGTCCCATTAGTCCTACTCCCAGTCATGTCCCATTACTCATACGCCCTCAAAAAGGCATATACCCTTTGAGTAAAATGGACTAGCAGGGTCTGATTTCTGACGTTTATGGTAAGCTAATCGATTCCCATTCAGTCACTTGTAATATAATATATCTATATTCGTTGAAACCAAAGTCCGTTCTATATTGTAACTTATATGATAAATCATCATATACATGTATTTAGGACACTGTTGCGAAGCCCCATTTAAAAATAAATAAAATGTAATTTATCAATAGGTTATCAGTATAAACATCTCCATATTCACAGCCATACATGGACATTCACCGGAAGCAGGAAATAGTCAATCACGATGACGGCTTAAATCCCCAGTTTCAGAAACATCCCTTTCAAACAAAATCTGAGTAATGTTTGATCGCAATCCTCTGTCCCAGTGGAATTGCAATTCCCTGGATGTTGTAAGCACCAACAACTTTAACTCCATTTTTACCTATACAAATTATGATGATGATAACACCTGGCTATGCATTCCTCAACATCCATAAATGGCTAGTAAATTATGGCGGAGTTCCGAGTGACGTTACTATTCAAAATATACACCTGTCAGTTCATCCTGACTGGTTGAACTCCACTGTTCAATTAACTAAGAGGCTACCGAACTGCCCCCATTTAATCAGAAAGAACCCTTTAACCCACCCAGTCACATTCAACACGTTGTAAAATTACCACGTGCTAGTATATCCAGTAGATATCTAAATTAATTATATTAATAGAGCGACAGGACCCTTCGGTATGATCAAGAAATTCAGTAGAGTTGCGTTACGATTCCATATGTTATGAGCATGTGTTTATGAATCTCTGTCTAGTACTGATGATCAGTATGATCGCCAAAAGATGAGCTTATGTGCCCAGTCGATGGTACCAGCTACAACACAGGCAATGGCAAGTAAACTGTTCATCTGAAAAATCTCTGAAATATGGCTTCAGTCAACTAGTAACCAAACTACTGGGGATTGCAGCGATCGCCATTTTGTCACTGATGTGTCTTTGGAAATGTACTCCACGTCTGTCATAAAACAGTTTGAAAGCTTTACCAAGGTCATGAGCGTTGAATCCTCCAAAACAGCTTAGATAAATCATACTCGGGCACTTTCAGTCGACAACAGCAGAAGAATCTATGCCGCAGATAGCAACGCTTCGGATTGACCAAGACCATAGCTAACCGTTGTCTCTTAAATCAGTACAAATTCGACATCGTTTAAAAAAATACTTCAAACACAGGTGAAGTGACAAGACCCATCCTGGGTTAAGGGAGGGGACCTTGAGTCGAAGTCTATCGCGAGGGTACAATCACGATACTGTCAGTGAATCAAGTGATGTTATAAATGTTAACAGCCCTACCGTAAAATGACTAAAACACGTGCACGTTAACAAATATAAATCTGTCTCTGTCTGTACAGCAGTGAGACGAAAATAAAATAACAAAGCGGACAGCTCTATTACAGGGCGGATCCAGAGTAGGGTGGACCTTTGGACTTCATGATGTATGTGTGCGCACGTACACACACACACAGACACACCGGTGATTACCTCAACACAAAATTAAAATTCAAGTTAATTATCACAATAAATCAATAAGTTCAGTTTACTCTACAACTAATCAGTGAGCAAACAGTATGGAATCAAAGTGAAAAAGACAATTGCTGTTAAGCCAATTGACTTGTAAGGAACTGTTCATAATTTATAGTGTGTGTGTGTGAGAGAGAGAGAGAGGGAGAGAGAGTGTGTGTGTGTGTGTGTGTGTGTGTGTGTGTGTGTGTGTGTGTGTGTGTGTGTGTGTGTGTGTGTGTGTGAGTGAGTGAGAGATGATAATTTTAAATGGGGGTCACCCATTTTGTTCTGGTGTGTCGGGTGTGTGTGTCATAAAATTTGTACACATGTACTAGGGGATGTGTCATTCACATTTTACATGCTTCTCCATAAAAAGATATATATATATATATATAACACGCACGCGCACGTGCGCACATACACACGAGCCATAAATTATTAACGGTCCCTAATCAAACATAAATGATTTAAAAGCTTCCCCTAGGCCTTGAATGTTGAGACGAAAATGTCTATCTGTCCATCTGTCGGTGTGTCTGTCGGTCTGCCTGTCACAGACACTATACGATTTACATGTTGAACACAGTCAACAAGTTAATAATGACTTACTTGAGTGCAACCAGTCTACGCAAATTAAGTGTTCCACTTCCAAATAAAATACATGTTGTTCTGCTTTTAGCACAAGATATACTGGTAATCAAGATATATACATATGTAATCATCAAGCATTACGTTCAGACGAAAGAATGCTTGGTGTCATGTTTCAGCAGCATGTGTCTAAGTGAAAAAGGTCATGGCTATTATCATGAGCATTAGCGCTCTACACAATTCGCGTTTGTTGTCGCTTACACAGAGACCGTGTCATCATACTGGATAGACTAACCACTAGTCTCTGAAATGAAAAAAATTCTACAGAAAAAAAGTTCATAACACACACAACACACACACACACACACACACACACACACACACACACACACACACACACACACACACACACACACACACACACACACACACACACACACACACACACACACACACATAGAGAGAATATGAGTCCAGATATTTCTTCTTGTCAAATCTCCTTTATATCTGCACAAGATCTTTCGCCGTTCAACGGCTCTTCAGGTGTACAATGTACAGATGTGCAGATATATATATACACCTGCAGAAATATTTCTTCTTGCCAAATCTCCTATATATCTGCACAAGATCTTTCGCCGTTCAACGGATCTTCAACGGCAATGAGAAGGAGCCCTGAGACTTTCTTCGTTTTCAGTGTTGACACATGTCATCGTATCCCACTTGCGTAGATCGATGTTCATGCTGTTGATCCCTGGATTGTCTGGTCCAGACTCGATTGTTTACAGACCGCCGCCATACAGCTGGAATGTTGCTGACTGCGGCGTAAAACTCACTCACTCACTCGCTCGCTCATTTTCAGAAGCTGTGGAAATCTAGACTTGTGTGGGCTTTCTTGGATATATTTGCTTCAGGGTCTGTATGACAGACTACATATTGGAGGTCACATCATAACAACCATTTGGCAACAAGAAGTCTACATTAACCAATCAGAATCCAGCTTTCTCGAGCTTACGGCACTAGTCTCAAAACGACGACCTCCTTATACACCACACGATGAAAAGTTTTCTTTTGAATTTTTAAAGCTTAACAAAATACAATTTTGTAATGCCATAAAGATGGCCAATAATTTATGGCAGTTAATGAGCTGTGGGAGGTGTTTACCATTTCACATGTTTTTTTAATCCCATTGAAGCGATATATAGACAATGATTTTGATAGAATCAATGGTACAACCAGTAAGTATCATTCGGAATACGTGTTTGACGTTACCCGTTGGAAGACACGTTCGGACATTTGCTTTCGCGATCGAGTAACCGACGTTCTGATTGGTAGAATGAAAGGTCATTCTAACGTGACCTTTAATGCGATGCCCTCAGCTCCGGTTACCGATTTTGAGAAGACTGTATTTTAAACCACGTGCGCTCGTTCTACATATGTTGTATGTTGTAGAAACAACAACCCAACGCACAAATTGGATAATATATCATGTTGGCGTGATTGTGTGTATAACATTTCACATGCACAAACGGTATATAAACTGTTCAGTTCACATGATAGAGATGCGGCATTAAACACACAACAAAAGAAATGCCTAGATTAACACAGGGACAGCGTGAGAGGGCCTTAGGAATACGGCAAACGGCGGCACAACAGACCCATGTTGTAAGGACATTCAACTGCTCCCAATACTGTGGGCAACTTGGTCCAGCGATTCAGAATACCAGGTCCAACAACAGTCATGCCAAGAACAGGTAGTCCAAGGTGACCCCTGATGATCGCTACCTATGCAACTTTATATGCATAACAGTTTCTTGCATGTGACGTCATCGGCGTCGAATGCGTTGGGTCGTGTGTGGTCAGCAAGCAGACAGTAGAAAGACGACTAAGGGCAGCCGGTATCAGGCCCAACAGAAGCCCGCTGTTGATCAATGAAACCGTCGTCGAAGAATGGGATGGGCGAGAACAGTAAGGCGTTGGTAACGTCATAATTGGCAGCACGTCCTCTTCACCTTCACCTTCACCTGACATATCTGGTGTTCGAGTCCATCACTGTGTAGTCTGATATCATGGCCTGTTCACAAAGGTCACCGTCATATCTATAAATGATTGAGTGTTGACAGTCTTCAAGCCTGTCCTTGACACACCTCTCAGAAGGCCTTGGTCATCAGTGGAGAATACCGGTATATGCTTAGACGCTAGGGTAACAGGTAGCATCTTCTTGAATCTTGTCACTGACGACATGAACACGTGATTAAGTTGTCCGGTAACGTCATGACACCATTCTCCTGCTGCCAGGCGACGTGACTATTTCCACGTGATGTAGTTCCCATTGATGCAATGCTGCCTGATGGGACAGTACTGACAAATCAAGCCACAGGGAAGCACCATCAACCGTAAGTTCATATTTTTTACTCGGATTCATGTTTCATCCGAAAAAATGATTTTACCCTATTTGAAAAGAAATTGTTCATCACTACAGTAACGAATAACACTGTGAATAGGTTTGCCAGCTTTCCTGATACAGTACTTAATCAGAAATATTCAATGTGAACGTTAAGATATTAAAATGTCGTGAAAAGATTGAACGTCATGATCAATGCCAGAGACCTCCGTCTTCATGATTCAAAGATATTTCATTGGCAAAGGCAAAATAACGGTGAAGATTATATGAATGCCCATTGAAAATCAGTGATAACGCCAGGTGTCCGAGATAGGAGATAATGAACATCCTGCCTTACTGTTAGCATGAAATGACTGGACAAATCAATGGTCATGTTGATAATGCGAGTAAGAGAGGAAGCTGAAATATCACGAAGAGCAAGGAATCGAATCCGGAAGTGTTTTGCCAACAGTTTACAAGACCATCCTGTTCCTTACAGTCTGTCTCACAGTCCCTGAACCACATTATTTTCCCTACTGCTTTGCCCTCTCTGCAATGCTAAAGCCTTAAACGAAGAGTCTAGATTTCCTCAGGTTCAGAATCTCTGGTCTCCCTTTGGCTCCTCTTCAATTTAAATGGGTTTGTTTGTTACTATTCAAATTATATATATTCAGAAACTAAGCGTTAGTCTATGTTCCTTAAAGTGGTACTGGTTCTCCCAGACGAGGGGCAGTGGGGTAGCCTAGTGGATAAAGCGTTCGCTCCTCACACCGAAGACACGGGTTCGATTCCCCACATAGGTACAAAGCGTGAAGTCCATTTCTGGTGTCCCCCGCCGTGTTATTGCTGGATTATTGCTAAAAGCGGCATAAAAATTAACTCACTCACCCAGTCTCCGACACGAGTCTTGAACATTAGTATTCTAATGTGAGTAGTTCCTACATGTAAGCTGGTTCCCGGCTCCCTTTGCGCGCGCCACCTTGCGACAAAGCTAGGAGCTCGTATATTGCGATATGCGAGACGGGGCCCAGCTTATTCCTACATGAAGCCATAATACTGTGGTAGCCGAGAGGGGACATCACTTTCTCGCCTTCAGTTTCGGGGCCCGACCATGCTATCCTTGTCGTTATCCCGTATTATCGTTATCGACGAGAATGCGATGTCCACTCTCAGCTACCATATATTACCGCCTAGTTTCGCTGTACCGCAAATTCGGAAATGTGGTTCTCGTTTTCATATCTACATCCGATATTTTATCTACACGCTTCCGTTGCTTGTTTTACCCAACCCTTAACATATCTAAATACCTGTATTAGTCACAGCGCTGGGAACACCTGGTGCGTGACTATCTCTGTTGATAAGTACTTAGATATTGAATATATTATTATAAAAACAACCCTCACTCGATTGATATCGTTTTTAATCTTTTACTATTTGTTCCAGATGACATTTTGAATTAGAATAATACCTTTAATGTTTGAATGTATCCGATATAACAGTCCTCCCGTTATCAGTGTTGCTTTAATCTATATAATACCATTATTCAAAATATCATTCGGAATTATACTATAACCAATGAAAACACAATGCCATTTAAAAGTGCTTAGGTGTCACATGTGTTATGTTTATGGATGACACTTTCTTAGTAAGGTACAGATTCTAGTACTTTTTTGGTTCGAGTGTGGGTTCGAACCCCGGATGGGCTTCACACATTGTACCCATGAGAGGACTCTCCATCGTGACAAGCGCAAGGTTTAACTACTAGTGAGTGAGTGAGTTTAGGTGTACGTCGCTTTTAGCAATATTCCGGCATTATCACAGCGGGGGACACCAGAAATGGGCTTTACACATTGCACCCATTTGTGGAATCGAACCCGGGTCTACGGCGTGACGAGCGAACGCTGTAAATGTTATTTAACTACTGGGCTTCCCCACCGCCAAATGTTCACAAAACGCTGGGATCGTACTGTTTACCACTCGTTTAACACGATCTTGGTCACGTGCATGAAACAACAACACTGCGACCTTGAAACCGTAGGTCAGTTACAAAGAAAGTGTAATCCCAAATATAACATATGTTACATTTGACCACTTTCTAAATGGCATTGTGTAATAGCTTTCGGCCGTGGGAGCTACCATGGGCCTACCTTTAGAATACAGCACCACAAATTTTAAAATAGGTCGTAATACCCTTTTACGGTGCTTAAGAAGTACCTACTCTATTGTCACTTGGGAAAATTCCTAGAATCAGGGTCCTTCCTAGGGCGTTCGAAGCGGAGGAGAATAGTGAAGACTTCAGTCAGAGAGCATCATGTAGCACAATGGAACAGTCGGTTGGCAGATGACTCTGATCTTCACAAGTTCCAGCGGATACATCGCCAGCTTGAAGTCCACCCTGCATGGAAGGTGTCATTGCTTGATGCATCACTCAGACGGCAAGCTAACTTTGTCATCAAAGCCTGTGCTACAGTGAGAGACCTATGTGAAGCAGGGCTGTGTCATCGGTGTGGATGATGTACGATGACCCTCACGCACGCCGTAGTTGTGTGTGTGGATACACAGATGCAACTCGGGACGAACTGTGGACAGGCCTAATCAATGTTGGGCCAATCGAATTCAGCGTGAAACTTCACAACATGAACCCAAATGAACTTACAGAGTGCTTGTTGTCGTGTACAACCGACTTCCTCTGATCAAAGAGGACTTGATTGAGTTTTCCACTCTGTGCATAAAATACATCACCATGATGTACAAAGCTGTGTTCCAGTGACTCATTGTGACTCTTTGCATTTGACTGATTAAGAAAACGTGGTATTGGCCTCTAATGCGCACGGAAATCCTGAAATAAGTGCATAAATATTGTCTCTTTCTGTACTCTTCACTATGGAGGAATAAAAGATTATATATATCGCAATTTCTAAGATGCCTAGCGGTTAGAACAATCGAAAAAATACATTATCAGACAATAAAGGTATAGTTTCTTGGTTTGCAGTTGCTTCACGCAGCTAACATCACTGGTGGAAACATTACGTTTATGTTTTACGACGGTTAAACTGTGTCAATTCGACTCACAAGTTTTAAGCGACACGGTAACGTTCGCAATGTTTACATTCCCACAATGCAATCGTGGAATGTCGCTTGACTACTCAGCTTCATCTGGATGTACTGATCTAAACTTACGTTGGTAGTAGAAATGCGACGTTCATATTGCCCCATATGGTTTACGTTAATGACAGATGTAATTAAAATAATTCAGAGAAGATATTTAATCCGAACGTAAACCGTCATCAAACTGTTATCATTTGGGTTTTTTCTGGTAACGTTCGTCTTAACGTAGGGGGGCAGACATATCAATAGAACAGCGCGCCAGTTAGCCCTGTGCGAGCATTCTTAATTTAGGTCACCGACACCGTCGTTTGTTTTCTGCCTTAAATTAATCGTAATTATCCTTAGAAAGTATTAAATTTAACATCTTAGAAAAGATGTAAAGTTCGCTCTACCCCAATGTGTTTTGTAATAAAGTATAGTTTTGCCCTGAACTATTATAACATCAAAGCACTCGGACTACCGTCTTCGTGCTTTAATTATAATAGTTCAGGGCAAAACTATTATAACATCAAAGCACTCGGACTACCGTCCTCGTGCTTTAATTATAATAGTTCAGGGCAAAACTATACTTTATTACAAAACACATTGGGGTAGAGCGAACTTTATTTCCTAAATATACAAGCCGGTACAGGCCAAAGAGACGATGAGATGGCTGTGAAGGCCTACAAAACACCAACATTGACAATGTTATGTCATTTCCATTGGTTTTTTTTTTTAGACGGCCGCGCTGTCTTTCATAGGGAGACGTCCAAAACACATTTTGTATCGTTTTTAAAAATCGGTCATGTTGAAAATTTAAATTCTTCTTATTTCTTGAAAACTTCTTTTTTCAAAATTCTTACTTTCTGCTGTTCTACGTATTTGATGTCAATATTCACGAGAAATAATAGTAAACGTTAATAATATTCGTTTTATTTGCGCGAAAGGATCGTCGTTTTTTTAAATATACACCCTAATTTCCATATGCAACAAGACCGTAGATCCAATGCAACGTTCACTTTTCAGATCCTATGAAACTGCGGCACAAAATACTTCTGCATCCAGTGGTTGTATTATTTTCAGTAATTTCATTACATTTGAAGATATGGCTGGTACGGTTTAGTCTCCATTCGCCTACATCTCATTTCGCTCACATCCCATTTCGTATACAAAAATAATGTAGGCTAATTGGGATTAGAAAATGCACCCCTATTCTTATAATGAACCTGACTCACTGGTCAGTGCCATGCTAATTAAGTAAATCTTCCAAATTATCCTTACTCATGTCTGAATTACTTTTTAACGACACACATTTTAGAAAAGTAAGCATCAAAGGATAATGAATATTAAATATTTTTTTGACGAAATTGGACTAAGTTATATCTGGAATTCCCAAAATTTTGAAAATTGGAATAAACTACAAATTAGTTAAATGTAAACTAGAAGAAGCGTATAAGCAAGTGTGGTTGTCTACGGTAGAACATTCATCAAAAGATATCTTATATAACTCCTTTTTTAACTTGTACACTTTGTAATGGTTACGACATTGGCGATGAATCTCATTATTTATTTATTTATTTGTTCTCACTTCATAAATGCAAGAGTTAAATATTTAAAGCCATATTTTTATTCCAAACCAAATGTTCATAACATGTATACATTATTCAATAACAATAAGAAAGGTATTCTCAGAAAGCTCTGTTTATTCTGTAATATTATCATAAATGTTTTTAAGAATCTTCGGTAAAAATATTCCATCTAAATATTTCTATTATCTTTATGCAATCTATTTGCAGATAGATTTACAATCTATCTATATATATAATGCATTATTCATCTGTATATATGAAATACTCGACTGCACATACATTGTATATAACTATATGAATATATTTAATTGTAACATATTTGTAACCTCATATGCCG